AAGAATAAAAGGCAAGCTGGTTCAATTTTTTTTATGTAACTTAAATAATTTGTATAATATTTTTTAACTTAAAATTATATTAATTTATACGTTTCAATAATTTATAATTTTATTGTTCTTTCAATACAATATTAATTACAATTTTTATGTATTTTTTTTATTATATGATATGAATTTTTTTACAACTTATAAATAAAAAATATATGTGACAAATATTTTAAAAAAATAAATAATAATAATAATAATTCAATCATACAATTTAATTAATAACTCATTTTCCACTTCTGCTCAATACTCCTGCCGGGTGTCAAATTCCTTTTTATCACACGAAAGAATTAATGAACATGTTGAGTTGTCCATTGCATGAACCAGTTGCCATTTTTGACAGTGACACGCGTTTAACTTATCAATCTGTGTGCTCCACTTGTTGAAGCTCATCCAAAAGAAAGAAAAGTCCAACATGAAAAACCTATATAATAAGCATGTCACATCCATCTTCATTATTCACATCTTTAACACGTTCTCTTACATCTCTACCTCCCCCATGCTGGTTCCAATGGCTCTCACATTTAGACTCTTATTTTTGTCCTTTCTCTCATTGTTAATCTCCTCCTCCATAGCCCAAACCTCCTTCAGACCAAAGGCCCTTGTTCTTCCAGTCACCAAAGATGTTTCTGCCCCATCGCCTCAGTATGTAACTCAAATCAAACAAAGAACTCCACTTGTGCCTGTGAAGCTAACCCTTGATCTTGGTGGTGGCTACTTTTGGGTGAACTGTGAAGAGGGTTATGTCTCATCTACCTCTAAACCAGCCCGTTGTGGCTCTGCTCAGTGCTCCCTTTTCGGGCTACATGGTTGCAGTGGAGAGAAAATATGCGGTCGCTCTCCAAGCAACACTGTCACTGGTGTTTCCACATCTGGTGACATTCATGCAGACGTTGTTTCCATCAATTCCACTGATGGAAACAACCCTGGTAGGGTGGTTTCTGTGCCAAACTTTCTCTTCATATGTGGATCAAATGTTGTGCAAAAAGGCCTTGCTAGTGGGGTCACAGGCATGGCTGGTCTTGGCAGGACCAAAGTTTCTTTTCCTTCTCAATTTGCCTCAGCTTTCAGCTTCCACAGAAAATTCGCCATTTGCTTGAGTTCTTCCCCTATGACAAATGGTGTAATGTTCTTTGGTGATGGCCCTTATAATTTGAACATGGATGTCTCCAAGGTTCTCACTTTCACTCCTCTCATTACAAACCCTGTTAGCACTGCTCCAAGTGCTTTCTTGGGGGAACCCTCTGTGGAATATTTCATTGGGGTGAAATCTATTAGAGTCTCTGGCAAAAATGTGCCATTGAATGCAACCCTTTTGTCTATAGATGGAAATGGCTTTGGTGGGACCAAGATTAGCACTGTTAATCCATACACTGTTATGGAGACCACAATTTACAAAGCTGTCTCTGAGGCGTTTGTGAAAGCGGTTGGGGTCCCTACTGTTGCACCTGTGGCTCCATTTGGGACTTGCTTTGCAACCAAAGATATTGGGTTTTCAAGAATGGGCCCGGGTGTGCCTGCCATAGATCTGGTGTTGCACAATGAGGAAGTGGTGTGGAACATCATTGGTGCAAACTCAATGGTGCAGCTTAATGATGTAATTTGCTTGGGCTTTGTGGATGCTGGATCAGGCCCAAGTACGGACCAAGTTGGGTTTGTGGTGGGTGGTTCTCACCCAATGACTTCAATCACAATTGGAGCACATCAGTTGGAGAACAACTTGCTGCAATTTGATTTAGCAACCTCAAGGCTTGGGTTCCGCTCCCTCTTCTTGGAACACACCAACTGTGCCAACTTTAACTTTACTTCTTCTACTTAGAATTGGATTATTCTACTCTAATCAAAATTTGGTACACGGGGTTTGTATTTTAAGGTCAATGTGATGAATAAGTGAGGTTACATTTATACATAGCCTCTAAAATTTAATTACCGTATGTCTAAAAAATAAATAGCACAGTTGTTTGATGGAGCTACCATATAGACATAGAGCACATATTCATCTTACATCTTGAATTATTTTTTTAGTTTTATTCCTCCTCGATATAAGTCATAAAAATCAAAGAACAACCCATTATAGCACAAACTACCTTTGTTAAAAATGTGACAATCAATGCTCGAAAATAAGAGCCTTCTCCCAGCAGATAGGGAATCGTCAGTTGTTTGATATTCTCCTTTATAAACCCATTCACTTCAAGACCTAACATACATGCACATCATATATAGTTGTCGTTACCGTATTTTCCTTACTAAAAAGGTACACGACTCACCCTTCATCCTTGGAACCTCAATTGAATTACGAATTATCAGTTATGGTTTAAACATTTTAAATAAAATTGTTTAATTGAAACAAAAAAAAAGCTAAAAAAAAATATCGTGTAATAAGAATAAAAGGCAAGCGATATTAGAGGAATATATTATGTTGTGTAGGGCATTTGTTTATATAGTTTGTAATTACGGGATTGTCTGAATGCGTATGGAACAGCCCATCAGCACAAGTTAATAATATACAATGTTCGCTATTGTTTTAATCCGTGTTCTTTTTGTTGGATTTCACAACCTATTACACAACTGATTGATAATATAGCCACGGAAAAGAAAGGCATGGATAGCATAGGCTAAACAACCTGTAGCACTTAAAGGTGGCACCATTTTCTTTCCGCTTGAGAAATGTAGCTGCTACTGGATTTTTTGAACGAGAACGTTAACCTCACATAGCTCCTGCATGGAAATTCTTATTTATCAGTAGCACGCCAAAACCAAAAGGGGGCAAAGTCAAATAGTGATAATAATAAAAGAGAACCTCATTGTGAATCGGTTAATAGAAGTCAAGATTTCTGATTAAAGAAGTCATGAATAATTTATAACCAACCGTGCACAATGCATAATGAACATGCTTAGTTCCAATGGCAGGATCAACATAATTGTAAACTCAAGAATCATGGGATAAACTGCTCATGTGGCACAAGGCTATGAAATTACTGGGAAGAACCTAATTAACTAAGAAACTGTATTGGGGTCGCTTATGTTTCATATGAGCAATGGTACAAAGAAGAAAGATAAATGGTTGTGAGTATATGTAATAAGGACTTGGGTATTATGAGGTGCCTAAGTCTCACATCAACCGTTATGGGATGTTCAGCAAAGTACTTATGGCTTGGTTCTTTTAATTGTCGACTTCAAGCATTTAAGTGAGGATTTCCCAATGGCTTGGATACTTGATTGTGTAAAGGTCTAAAGGAAGAGAAAATAAGAAGGAAGAAAAGGCACGTGAGGGGGTATGCATGAATCTACACACTCCCTCTCTTTCTAGTGACTCTTAAAGTTTCATTGCTGTTGTATACAGTTGTAGCCAAGACTAAACCACCATAATAGGGTCGGTCAACTAGGAAAAGGGGTCGAATAGTATGCACTAAGTTTTAGGTTTCAGCCTGTCTTTGTATACCAAAAAATGTTGTAACTGAGACTCAATAAAACTTTTAATGAATGCAGTTCTGAAATTTTCTGAGACAATTCAAATAACTGTTGTAAAGATGTTTCTTGATTGCGACTGTATTTTCATTTCATTTCTCTCTTGGAAATGTAAGAATATACTAACCATCTTTGCTTGAACTCTGCTCCATGTCAATCTGTTCTTGCCATGGCCATTTTAGATTAGAAGATGAGGAACACTGTTGAGGAACTGAAAATGAATATGTGCTTGTACTGGTACACGGCTTCTTACATGATGAAGAATCAGCTGTGGAGCAAATGTCTTGGTCCATGCTTGACACCCCTGTATCTTTGTTATGATTTCGAGAGTTATCCTGGTTCTGCCCCTCCTCTACCATACATTTTTGTCTCTTCCGCCTAGGCAGTTCATTCTTGGAATCCTGAAGTGCTGGCACCTTCTGATCATTAGCTGAAATGGTAGCACATGGTGTCTTTCCCAGAATGACAACTTTAGGAGTGTCCAAGTTTTCAACACTGTTAGTGTTGTCTACAACAACTTCACTCCTTGGTTCAGAGCCAGCAGACTTTGCTGCTGCCTCATATTCCCACATCTTGAATATAGCTTCAGTGAGTCTTTCTCTGGCCAAATCTACATCAATTATTGGCATCGGATAATTTTGACCCAGCTCAACTCCTGATGCCCTAAGCACACTAAGCGGTGCATCCCAAGGATGATGGATCCACTCAGTTGGCATTCTTGCCAACTCAGGTAGCCATTGCCTCACATATTCACCTTCTGGATCAAATTTAGCCCCTTGAATCTGTCACCGAAATTAGAGATGTGAGATTTTTTACATATATTTTGATTATTTTCTAGACTCTGAAAGGGTAGAATTAACTCCTTGCAAGGACTACTAATCTACAGAGTTTTTGAAAGGAAAATAGGACCAAAAAAGCCATGGATGTTCAATCAGACAAACAAAGTAAAATCTCATTATAAACTGACATGCTCCATACTAATACATGAATCAGAACTTCAAATTATCTGTCAGACAGAAACGAGATATAACTCAAGTGTTGAACTATTATTCCTTTTAAAACTTGTAAAAGAAATATGAACAGATGAACTTCACCAGGTAAAAAATGAATTGAAAAAAATATGAAAACGTAAGTCTCTCATTTTTCTACTAACAAGAAGGTAACTTACATTGAGGAAGATTTTACTTCACTGCACAAAATTAATATCTTCCAATTTTGGGTGTTGCAGTAAAATCAAATACAAACTCAAAAGTACATATATGTTACACACATTATGTTGATGAAACAAACTCAAAAGTACATAGAAATAAAACTGTGGAATATAAAATAATCACATCATCTGATTGATATCACGCAAATTGTAAATCCTTTGAATGAAAAAAAACATGACAAACCTCAGGATTGTCCAAGCGCTCAAGCTCGTGACCATCTGGTAAGCCTCCTGAGATATACTGCCAACCCAAGATATCACTTTCAAGGTCAGCATCCAAAAGTGTGTCCCAGAAATATTTCATTCCCCATTTCCAAGGTAGAAGCAACATTTTCACAGCAAAACTGGAAACTATTACTCTGATTCTGTTGTGTATCCATCCTGTTGCCCAAAGTTCTCTCATTCCTGCATCAACCAAAGGATAGCCAGTCCTCCCTTGTCTCCAAGTCTTAAAGGTATCAGGGTCAGCATTCCAAGGAAAATACTTTAAGTGCCCCAGAAGTGCTCTCTCATGGGTGAAGGGAAAGTTGAAACAAAGATAGCGCGAGTACTCTCTAAGTCCAATTGCCCTGAGAAAAAGATTTACACTCTCTTCACCAACACTGTTGCCTTCATTTGTCCATAATAATTGCTTCATACGTGCAACTTGAAAAACTTTCCTCACACTCAGTTCTCCAAAATGAAGATATGGGGACAAGAGTGACGTGGAGTCTCCACCAACCTTCAGCCTTCTCTCGGAGTAGTGAAGTAGATGCTGCTCCACAAATTCTGTTAAAGCCTTGTCAGCATTTCTCCAACCCGGCGACCATGCCCGTCCTAGTAATGCATTGCTTGGTTTTTCTGATTCATTTTCAAGACCTAGTTCTTCCAGTGAACATTCCCCAATTTTTCCTGTCATCCACGGGAAGAGAGACAATTTCTCACATGTTTTTATATACAAATGTACACAAGTTGTTATGTAGACAGGTTGATATAAGAGAAGAAATTGATGAGATTGCAGCTAGTTTCAACTTTCAATAATAAAATTGTCTTAGAACTAGACCTCTTTCCTAGTTCTTAACCTCTAGCAGTAACCTGATATCAACAATCAAATAATCCAGAAACAATAAAAGTGAAGTAAAATGCATTATGAATCTAGTCATATCATACCTTCAGCTGGAATTAATTGCCATGGAGGAACAACTGAAACAATATCCATTTGCTTGTGCAAGCATTTCTTCCAAAAAGCATTGAAGGTAGTAAAAGCACGTCCACTCTCACCATATACTTCCCATGGCTCATACAAGAGATCCCCATTGTAGCTTTGCACAGATAGGCCTTGTTCCACTAGTTTTTCTTTGATGTTGTGATCACGTACAAGTGAAACTGGATCTGGTAAAACAATTAGGATAAGAAATATAGGTCAGCTAACTAGCATTGGACTGTGAAGAAATATAGGAGGAAGTTATTTTGTTCATTATAAAAGCAATCCTGCTAGTGCCAGTCAATTCTCATATCTCAGATGGTTAAAGCTGCCATCTAAAAAACTAAATAATTTATATGACAAACAAAAGAAAATTAGGAGTACTAGAATGCTTGAAACAAGTAAAGCATAGCCTACATGCATCTGTGTCTAAACAAACAAAAATACAGTTTTACACAAATACTTCATTTCATCTTCTATATAATGATTTTTGATGTGGCATTTAAAGAATGGATGCATTAGTTTTTAGAATTCTGGAGCTTTGACAGCCATGCACTCTTCATTTTTGCAGTAACATATTATCAAACTGAAACACAGAACAAAAATAGTAAGGACGAGAAAACGCCTCGAGTAGTTGTTACTCAGAGAACATACTAAGATGTTCACACAGATAATCTACTTTATCTGTTAATTGAAGCACTTAAGGAACTATAGTGGCATTTAGAGAAACCATAGAATTGCATTCAAATGTCTACTCCACTTCATGCAAATGTGAATGAATCGATTTTGACAATTCAATATTTGTTGGAAAAGAAACATTTTTTTTTCTTTCTAAAACTCCTTAATTTAGTATCCCTTTGATGCCTAGGAACCAGCGCAAAAAGCAATAGGAAGAAAATAACATTTTACCTTTAGAATACTAATTCAGTTTTGAGAATTGCCTTCAAGGAGTATCCTACCTTGAAGTGGTCCTAAACCTCCTCTAAATTATCAACAGAAAAAGGCCTATAAGCTTCTTTAACTTTTGGAGATCCAAAACATAAAATGTATGATATGATGCACATCAAAATTGGCTAAAACACTTAAGCAAGAAGGTTAATTCTTCAGCAGCTACATACTTACCATATAGATGGTTAAACACTACTTTAGTTGCTTGAATGGCCTTTATACACTCCAAAAGAGCTGTGACTGTACTGTGGGTTTTGATGAGCACAAGTCTGGCTCCAAGAGACTTCAGTGACTGATCCAAGTGAGCAAGAGATTGCTTCAGCCACCACCTTGACACTCTTCCTGGATAAAATTGTCCTTCCTCTTTAGGGCACCATATAAACACAGGTAACACAGAACCCTCCCTGGCAGCAGCAGCTAATGCAGGATTGTCCTCAATTCTAAGGTCCCTTCTAAACCAAACAATAGTCCTGTTGCTACCCATATTGAACACTTCAAATTTTTCATGGCATAGACAAAGCTTTAAACCTCATATAACACCTCCGAGCATCTTCTCCACCACAAGTTTCTCATACCCAATAAAAAAGCACAAAGTTGACCTCAAAACTTCACGGTTCTCCTAATGAAGATCCTTACCAAAATAAAATATATGAAGACTGATATCCCAGATATGAGATACAAAGGTTGGATCTGGATTTTTTGCAAAATATAAAGATATCTATAGCAGCACGGGATAAGAGCCTCAAATCACAGACAAAGTAGACCAACAAACATGTAGCTTATCAAGATGTCCAACTTGGATGCTACTTTGCTTTGTGTGAGGTATCCAACCTAAATCCTACTCAGAGAACCGATCCCCACATGTCTCACTCTCCAATTTAAAGACCACCAGTTAAAATAGCAAAAAAGAAAAGAGGAAATTTTCCAATCGAGAAACAAAAGCGACTCAAGAATAATAAATAAAGGTTGCAAAAGCATAAATAAAAAAGAACAATATCCACAAACCACTTGAGCTGGAATATTCAATATTGTATAATATATAATAAAATAATCCTTGAAGATAAGAGATGAGTAACTGAAAAGTTCTTCAAATCCACCTCAAACTTTGCCTTTATAAAGAAGATATGAAACACCCACAAGCTAGATTTTTAATATTCATAACATAACATAACCCCATCAAAGTTTAGGTGAAGACCAGACAAGCAAGCACCAAATCAAATCAAGATTCAGCCTAAGTTAAGGCTTAGGTAGTAATAAATAATACATAGGCAGTAGAGGAGGCAACAGTGATTGAATCATGGAGTGTGTTGGGGAGGAGGGTTGTGTTTTGAGGATCTAATTAGTGGGTAATCACGTGTGGAAGATCACATGGTACGTGCAACTGACGATAGTGGGAGACAGACACGTATGATTAACAGAGGCGAAAGGATAAGAACATTGAACAAGTCACTAGAGGCTACCAGCAGCTTCCACAACTTCATGAAAATGGACCAAATTTTTACCACAACATCATAAAAATATCCTCAATAAATCCAAAACTTGATGGGCGTAACCACAACAGTTGTACGTTGTGACGTTGTAAAAGATAATGATGACATAGACTTGTGTTATATATCAATGCAATCAGACTCAAATTATTTTTTCTTTGTAAAAGACGTGTATGATTTACTTTCATGAATGATTTAGAACTGTAACAAGATTTTTTTTATTGGGCACGAGGATTACGTTAACTGGCAATTCGTGAAATTCTATACAAAAATATGTTTTTCTTTTTAGTAATCTTATGAGAATTATTCAAACTAATATTTATTTGAATTGTATTTTTTAAACTGGTAAATTTCGAAATCAATTTTAAGATCGCATAGTTAAGAGTAATCCCTTTTACTTAAATTAACATATTTTAATAGTAAAACAAGTGCATACATAAGTAATTTATAATTATTATAAAGAGATATAAGAGATGTAATCACTTCTTGATTTCTATTTTTTAATGGATTATTATACTTTTAAATGTAAAAAAAAATCTTAAATTTTTTTAAATAATTACACATAATTTTTTAATATTTTATTAGTAAATAACTATTAGAGACATAAAATGTTACTACCTTTATAGTAAATAATAATGTTAATTAGCTTTAATTGTTTTATATTTATACATTATGGCCAACTATCATCTCATAATAGTTAATTTTATTTTTACTTTCTATGAACTTGAAATCTAATTTTACTATCTATATATCAAGAGAATTGCTTATACTTTTTAATCATGGATTAATTAGTTGTAGATGTGCTGCGAACAATAGATAAATGAAATATATTAATGAATTTTTAGTCGTTATAGCAATTTAAATATACTATGTATATTTGCTAGGTCTAATAAATTTAATATATCTAAGCTGTACAGTGCAATATTACTCTATTTTATATTTTATTTAATTAATTTTTACGGTGGTATGTGATTCCTTTACCCTATATTTAGAAGAGATGAAACAACAGAAAAAGAAAATAAAAAAGAAGAAAAATATGAAAGACAATAAATATATATAAATATATATATATATATATATTATTTTTAAAAATAAATTAAATTATTAATATTTTTATTATACACACAAGGTAGAGAATTTTCTTCCAACAAATTTATATTCAAAGTCAGAATTTCGACCCTACACCTCATATAAAGAACATAAATCATTGACCAATGTTACTATTATTTTTATATATAAACACTTTTATGTTAGAATGACAGGACCTACAAATTCAAGCCCGCAAATTTATGACATTCTTAATTAAGTATTAAAAGTTTGAAATTTACGTTGATGAACGTGTCTATTTTTTTAACACATACTTTGCATTCAATTTTTTTACTCACGATACTACTTCCGATTTTAAATATAAGAAGAAAAATATATTTACATTAAGAAAGTTAGTTTGTATTAGTTCATTTCATTAATTTTATTTTAAAAAAACTTATTTTTTAAATTACTCTTTCTAAAAACTTGACATTAAAAATAAGAGAAAAAAAATCAAAATATAATCTCAAGTAAATAAAATGTTATCTTGAACATTATAGTATTAAATAGAATAAAATTAATTCAGATTAGTTAATATTTGTGACTGATAAAATGGGTTTTTTTTCTTACATTCAAAATCAAAATGAGTATTTATTTATATATTTATTATTTAATTATATCAATCTATAGTGTGTATGAGAGTTTTTTTTTCCCTTATATTCAAGATCGAAATGAGTATTTATTTATATATTTATCATTTAATTATATCTAGACATTTTATATTGTGTGTGAATTGTTTGGCAATGTCAAATTATTAAATAACTTTTTGTAGTGTCTAATAAGGAAAATAATATTTTGTTAACTACAATATAGAAAAATGGTGTTATTGAGTATCACCTATTGAAATTATGAATTTAGTTAGACATTTTATTTTAAAATTAAAATCAAGAATGATATATATCAACTCCTACTATTAAAGTTTTATTAAATGATTTGTCTTTATTAAGATAGATCTTATTTTGATTCAAAAATTGTAACATATTTTTGACATAATAATCTATTTTATAATTAGTTTTCCTTCACAAGTTTAATAACAATATTGTACTTGTAGTAGTATTATTTTTTTTCTTCTTTTCTTCTGTTTAATCAGGATATTGGTTGTGATGTGATTTCTGTTATTAAGACTACTCTTTCGATAATAAAAATGATTTTTTTTTTGTTGTTAAAATCTTTTTTGAGTTGTCTTATTATTATTATCATGCCTGCAATTTATTTTTACCATTTCCTTATTTTTTTTTAGCAATATGATGATAATAATTCACATGACATATGCTTCAAAACAATAACAGAAAATAAATAAGAGATAGTACTTTTGAGAATATAAAGTAGTCATATATGCTTCCACTTTTGGGTTAAGACATAAAATAAAAAAATAAAAAAAAGGACAGGGAAATGTGCTAGCTAGGCAATGGGATAATGATAAAGGTATATTCTATTTTGAGGGTGTACGTGAAAAGAAAAAAGGATAGAGAAAAAAAAAAATCATGATTTGATAAAGGATTATAATGAAAAATGAAAAGGGGAAAAGAAAAAATGAAGATGAGAATCGATTATTCTAGAAATAATCAATTATTTAATGTAGAATGAGTTTTCTAAGTTGATGTTACTGATACAAATAATCGATTATTTGTACCAATAATCGATTATTAACACGACTCTTCATTTTCAACACTAATTCACACTAAGGTACGTGCATTACATATACAAGACCCATACACCTACAAAGACTAACTTTAACATCGGAGTCTCTTTTGCAGGTACCGCCCCCATTTCGGAACAGCCGACGTACCCAACGAAGGAGGCTCACCAATCTTGCCCAGCAGATCGTCTCCCACAACCGATCTCCGATAAGAACACCAACAAAATGATTCAAACTTCTTAATGCTACCAAAAAAAGATTTATTAAAACCAAAGACGGATGAAGTATCTAATTCCTAAAAATGTTTTCATGATAACAAAACATATTGATTTATTAAGTAATAATAATTTTTTTGAAACGTTTTTTTACAAATTAATGTAACTTATTTTTATGAAAAACATCCAGGACATAGTATTCTTTTACAAGTAACTAAAGCATCCAACCATGTTTTATTATGTGTCAAATGTTACAAGCATCCAACTGCTTAAGCATCGGAGACCGAACTTTATCTTAAAGAGAACTTATTTGACAAATTTAAAAAGTATGTTCTCAATATGTGTTTTCATATTACATTTGTTCGTATTTTTGTATATTAATTGATAATCAGGTTTCAATTTAATTTTTTGTACAATCAAACTTGAAAGACGAGTCAACTTATTATGAAAAGTAAAAAGTAGTCGAACAAAAGAGAAAAACAAAATATTTTCGGTTTTGTACATATCAAACTCCCACTCTTCAAATCTTACATGAAAATCCATCTATTAAATTAATGTAATTCCAACAGGAACAACATTCTCTTTAAATAGATATCTTACATTCAATGTTATTTATACAGAGAAGCATCAAGAGTTGAAGATTTTTTTTCTTTTTTCTTTTTTGGAAATGAATAGAAAATCCTATAAGTGAATTTCTTAAAACTGCTTTGATCCTGTTGTTCAATTTTTTAATATTTCATATACACACTTTATTTCTTGATATTTATTATTTTCAAGTAGTTGTGTATTTCTGCTTTTTCTATGTAAGCTCACTAAATTAAGCTTCCAACCATTTTTTATCTTATGTGTCAAAAAATTATAAGCATCCAACTAGTGATGGAAAAATTTAATTCTATTTAAAAATTAACAAGTATTTATAATATATTTCCTAAAATTTGTCGCAGATAACATTGTCAACTCCGCTACCAAGTTCGAACAAAGCACATAGATCCTCAAATGTTTTCCCATCTGTATCTTATTCTTGCAAAAAATTTTAAACATCTATTATATTCTCTCTTTTTCAACTACTATTACCATTATCATTCAAGAGTTTTGATTTTGCTGATCCTCTCGAAGAAATATTTGGGGGTGCAACAAAGTTTAAATTTACTTTTTGGTTATAGGTGAATGTGTAACTGTTCAGGCCCATGTCAGGTATTATAAATAGGTCACACGTAACGAGGTATGTCACTGTTTAATTATTACTCTTGAGAATTGTGCTTGTCCTGACTTGAGCATCGGAGTGCCTTTTGTAGGTACCTCCCCCCCTCTGAAGATCCATCCGGAGCTCTCGTTCGGCCCTTTACCCACCTGAAGATTACGAGTGTGCCCTCAGACAGGTACATTTTGGTGCCCACCGTGGGGCCGAACCAATAGCTTTTGAAGAAGACAGACTAAGCACTATTTCGAAGACATCATGGCAAAGACAAGGAGAACACACACTTAAGACCACCGATCTGAAGACGAGCACCAATCCGAAGCTGACAATGCCGAGACGGTCGACGAGACCAACATGGCCAAGATGGTACGACAATTGAAGGAGGAAATGGCCTCCATGAAGCAGCAGTGAGAGAAGGACGCTCGCGAGATGGCCGCCTTGACAGAAGAGAACGCCGCCCTGAAAAACCAAAACAAAGATCCCACGTGGAAACCCTCCGAGCCGACTCACACCCAAGGGTCGTTTCACTCGCTCGGACATCATACTTCTCTCCCGCACACTTCCCCTGTCGCTTCGGGGAACCACGCCTCGGCTGCTCAAGTAACCGGCCGACCCGCATACGCCCTGCCGACCGGAGCTCACTGGCACCCCTTCACCCCTAACATCATGCAATCCTCCCTCCTCGACCACTGGAAGTCCCTTCCGTTAGATAAGTATGACGGAACCACCGACCCCGACGGACATGTCGACATTTTCTTGACCCAGGTCATCCTCAACACTACTGACGACGCCGCCCTTTCCCGAATCTTCCCAACTTCATTGAAGGGTCG